AAGTAGAAGCCGAGCACTAAATTGAGCACTATTTTCGAGATGTGTTAGAAGAGAACTTGTAAATAGATTTATTGAGCACACTAGCTTTTTATTAATTAACTTAATTTATCAACAGAACGTAAAAGAAGAAAAGGACGATAGTTTTTTGGAGAACACAATAGTAGGGCAGCGAGCACTAAATTTGCAAAAGCACATTATTATCGATGTATGAAAACGACGAAACGCTCAAACTACAAACACATGCTATTGAAGTTCCAACAGATACAAATGTTCGTCTAATACTGAATAATCTCGGTAGTTTGGGTCACTCGTTTCACATTCATGGACATGATTTTCATGTGCTTGGAATCGGTGACGCTCATTTCGACTATCCACATCTATTTGATAATGATAATAAGAAACTTTGATTTAATAACCCACCAAGACGAGATACAGAACAAATAAATAAAATGAATATTCGTGGATGGTATTATAATTTTATTCAGATAATCTTAGTACATGCTTTTTCCATTGTCATATTGAGTGGCATCTTGAAACGGGATTAGCTCTTGTAATTAACTATAAAGATGGAAATAATTGTATACAAAAACCGCCCGATGATTATCCAATAAAAAGAAATTATAAACAAGCAGATCTACAACAGAGAAGAGGGTTCATGCCCGAACTCCGCATATTTTTAATAAAAAGTGACTATACCTATATCCCAAACTCCGCACATAATTATATAAAAATTTGAAATGTACGTGATCTCAAACCCCGCACACTTTTTAATTAGCAAGTAAAACATGGACTGTAAGAAATAAAAAAATACATATTCTTTCATATATTCTTAATTTGATTGTGATATTTCGGCCATATAGCGATAAGCTACTGCCCGTACACTTAACATATATTCTTCAAGACTCATTTCACCCGGTTCATATGCTTCTCTATTTAAACACAATTTAAATGTGCAGTATAGTATGTGGAGTACAGTACTCCTTGTTGGTACAGCGCCATGATGCTGAACCTTTTTTATTATTTCTGATATGATGATATCGATGTGAATTATAAGCGCAAACTTGTGAACCACGCTGACTGGTTTCAATTTCAAATTCCATTTCGTAAAATATTTGTTGGGTACACATGTGTTTTTGTAGAGCGCCGAAAGAAAGAGTCGCTCCGACTCCGCTCCAGCTCCATGACTTTTACGAAGCGCTCCGCTCCAAGCATAAAATTCCCGCTCCAGTTCAGCTCCAGCTCCGTTCTGACTCCACTCCCGCTCACTCCAGCTCCGCTCCAGGAGCGGAGCTAGCTCCGTGGAGCGGCCGCTCCGGAGTCGGAGCTGCCCATGTCTGACCGGTAAGCAGAACGATCGAGCACAGCACGAGATTACTATGTACTTCCTGAATTACTCTTTTGGATACTAGTGTTACAATTTTTGATTACGCAATAGATTGTGCGTATATGGAATTTGTTGCGCTATGGAACACTCTTATCAGCATTGGAATCAGTGAAATTCAAAGCTGATATTAATGATAAACGACTAAAAATTGGTCTTATTTTACTTTTACGCAGCGTTCATGCTTGCAGATTTCGAATTCGAAAATTCGAGGTTTTGTGGGTGGGGGTTTTTTATGTTGTTCAATCGTGGTCCTCAAAGAATTTCCAGTACCGCACAGTACTTACCCTTCATACTTTGGCTAGATAATCTACACTCACTGTAGAGTCTTTGGTGCGAATCTGAAGTCGAAATGATACTCCTAGACTGAGCTGTGATTCGCAAAGAACCTCGAATTTTCAACACGAAAACAGTGATCGTAGCCCGTAAAATAGCTGTATTTCACAGTACCACCCACCTCACAAAATTCATATTGTAGACAGAGTACAGTCGTGGCTACATTTTAGTAAAAAGAAAAAGTTGTCATCTCTCTTAGATCAGGAGCTATTGATATTTTATATTGATATTTTATGAAAAAGAAATAAATCGCTTATATTTCACGAACAATCCAGTAAAAGAGACCCAAACTCGGTGGATGATCCACATTCAGTGATAGCTATGACCACACAAAATCAGAAGTCTCTTGCTATCATGGTTCTTGAGTTACACGGATGTCGCTACTTTTGCGGAGTACTGTATACCGCACCGGAGAAAAAAGAAATATAAATCGCGACAACCGAAAAAGTTTGAAAAAATTATTTGGATTACAACGTATTTCTAGAATTTTAGAATTTTCAGAATCTAGAAATTCTGAAATTCTAGAAATTGTGATTCTCTCTTTCTCGAGAGTATGGAACGATGGACAGCGCGCTTGATCATTTGGGTCGAATAGCGTTCATCAAGCTGGTAATGTATAATTCTCCCATCGTTTTTGTTAGCGTTTATGCTCCTGGCGATCAACCTTCTGAACGTCAAAAGTTTTTCAATGATTTAGCTCCTTTTATACCAGTTGGTGCTTCTCTACTCATTGATGGTGATTTTAATTGTGTATCTGACCCCAAACGTGATCGAAATTGAATTAGTGAACGTGTTGACAAATCGTATTCTTCCTTAGATAAAAAGATTATACAACCATTCCATTTGTACGAACTTTTTCTAAACATCCTCATACTGTTCATTTCATAGCATTCCTCATAATACTCGCAGTCGTATAGATTAACTATCACTCCATCACAGGACGATTTTGTCTTGATGTGTAACATACATAACCAAATTCGAAAAAAATCCGGTGGACAAAGCTCTCGCAAAAACACGTGTGAATAAAGAAAGAAATGTCAGAGAAGTTGGCTTAACTGCTAAAACAAGCACTGCAAGCGCCAAAGCTAGTCAGATTCCCATTCCCTCTCTTTTTATATGGTGCTCGAAAGCATCGAAAGTGGGTAACGAAAAAGGTCAAACAAATACTTAGTATATCTGGATACAAAAATTGTAATCGAAGTTGCGGAAAAGTTTCGCGATGCCTTTGTTCTAAGATTTTTCTGGTCTTCGGAAAACATTTCTGATCAAACACTTTTATATATTTTTGTACTACACACTTTGCTCTTTTTAATAAAAAAAGGATAAAGTCTCTACGATATTCGATCGCAACGCTATATCAAAGACAAAATTAATGCAAAACTTTTGCACTACCCGTCAGTAACGTAGTTTGTGGATAATTCTTTACCAAGGAAAAAATCGATAATCTTCCTGAAATTAGGCATCCATAGAACATTTTCATTCAACTTGCTCGATAATCTCAACCAGTGTGTTCTGCGAAAGTTCGGGCGCATTGAAGTCAATGTCAACTTCGTAAATAGAAAAATCATAAATGTTGTATATAGATCCTTCGTGCCATTTGACATTTGACCATTGTTTTGATTCGAGCCAAAACGCATTTAATTTTTTATCCTGCTTTAATATGTTCGAAAGGATATTTCTCTAGTTATTGTAGGTGAAATCAGCCACTATAACTAGGGGAATATCCTTTGAAATTGCGAAGAAGCGCATAATAGAATTTCGTTTATTGTGGCCACGATAGATAGTGATGCACAGAAATACTACAATACTGCATGTAAAGAAGAGGAGAAAAATTGAAAATACTGAGAAGTCCTTTTGTGCCGCTCGTTAGAAAGTACGACTTTCTATATGACTTAAGAAAGTGCGACTGAGAAAGAAATTAACTTACTTGGATTTTGTGGTATTTATAGCAGAACGTACCACTGACAGCGATGCTTGACGTTGATTACCTCTAATCACATTTCTACCTCGTGTTTTCACATTAGTGTTGAGATGCGAAGCAGAACAGGGTGAAGTAACAACGGCTTTTTGGTGGTGGTGATAGTAGGTAGAGGAGCAGCAGCTAGAATCGGTAGCGAGCAGCGTATTTTGAAGGAAATCGTTACGAAAGCCTCGTCTTTTTTTTCATACGAAAGCCATGTAAATAGCTTTTACGCGGCTTTCGTATCAAACAAAATACGAGGTTTTCGGAACGTGACGAGGTGACAGGCTGTTCCCAAATGACACAGTGCGCAAAATAAATATGAGAGAGAATTATTAAAATTACACTATTTTGTCTGGAAACTTTTTTATTTTTTAAACGTTTGAGACGAAGGAAGTATGTTAGTTAAACTACAATAATTACATAAAGTTGGATAGAGTTCAAAACGTTGGAGCTGACACAGCAAACCGTAGCTTTGACACAGTTTACTGAACGAATATGAGATGGAATTATCGAATATGCTTTTAACTTCTTTCACATCGTTTTTTATAGAGTTGATAAAATTAAATGTCCTGCGGTTTGTGTCTCACTTTTTATATTTTGAAAATAAACGCTGGTGTCACGTGAATGATATTCCGAATAAACTGAGTATAGATAACTATCACCTTTTAAGCCAAATCATTGCGTCCGCTACTGTCGCCGCAGTATGCTAATAGAATACCAGTCACGTATGCCAGCATTACGAGTGGAATTAAAATCCAAATGTAAGCAATAAACATCGGAAGTGTATTAGTTATTAGAAAGACAATCATAATTAATTGCAAAACTGAAACAATGGCGATTGTCGCAATGTCAACTGCCACTTCGAAACGATTCTCACATTTTTTTGCATTCCCGTAGCGAAACTGCATAAATTTAACAAATAAATTCGTAGATGTTACCCAACACTGTGGTGCAATATAGTTTGATAATTTATACCCGAAGATACTATAACATTTCCATGGTATGGCCTGTATATACGTCATACAGTTGGGCTGTAGCGCACAGTACCATATAAAATCTGCGAGCATGAACGCTGCGTAAAAGTACTCAATAAGACCAATTTTTAGTCGTTTATTATTAATATCAGCTTTGAATTTCACTGATTCCAATGCTGATATTACTTGTTGTTTCGGCCCCATTTTCAGAACTCTGCGCTCTTTGCGCCGTTTTGCAATTTCAACAGCTTTGTGAAACTTTTTTAGAAACTTGAGGATTTTGTAGAGAAACCATTGCGCTTTTTCAGAGAACCTTGCAAACCACCCAACCTCTGAAGGGTATAGCGG